GTGTCAATGAGATAATAGGCTTTAGCTCAGGATAAACTGTGGGTGGAAATTCAGTTATCTAATGAGCCCCAAAAGACAGGTACCACTTAAAACATTCCCTTGACTTAGGGTACTAAGGGGTCCTCATAACCAAGAGGACAACTTCAGGCCACAAGGATTGGCTGAGTAATATGACCTATGACTGAGTGAAAGGAGGAGCCCAGGCTTTGAGGGTGTCATGTGTCTTACCTCTTCCTCACAGACTGACTCCTGCCGGAAGGTTGTTTCTGCCCAAAGCCTCAGTAATCCGGCTCCACCAATATTCTTTCTAGAATATGTGCATCTGCATCATCTGAATAAATCTCTGTGTTGATTTATCAAGCATCTCCTAATGAATAGCAGCCATGGGAGAATAGTGAGGCAGCCCTAAGAATGGAGCCCTGGAGAAGGTACAGTGCTCTAAGTAGAACAAGAAAGTATAATGGAGTTTCCCAAGTGTACCATGTCAGAAGAGTCACCTGGCAAGTAGGGGCATGAAGGGAAAAGTAAGCAGGCAGGTTCACAGGACCTTATTAACATACAGATTGGCCTGGCCCTTAGACGAGTTAACTTTGAATCCTTTACACTAATAATAATACCACTTTAGAATACTGTTGGGAGGGTGAAAAATAGAAAATCCATAAACTATGATTAGTATAATACCTGGTACATATTATGCATGCAACAAATACAGAATTTAAATACTGCATGCACATTTCTTCACTTTTCTGCCAGACCAGGCCCTTCAGTGGCAGCAGGATGGTCTGAGTACAGCATTAGTGTGGCCAACAATGAGTCTGAAGTTGAACCTTCCCAGGAGCAGACTGGGGAGGGATACAGACTTTGGCAATGGAGATTGTAGTTTGACAGAAAGCAGGGATAGGAAGGCAGAGGTGGATCTGGTCAGAGCTTTAGAGGTTGATATCTGAGCAGGGAAATTTGTAGAAAAATGAACAAGGACAAATAGACTTCAAAAAATCAGGAAAAAAATTAACAAATGAGATTTTCAAGGGGAGAGATGCTTTGCTGACAATAAACTATTTTTATTTGACTTTTTTATAGCCCAAAAGTCAAAATTTAAGAATTTGTAGTTCATCTTCATCTGCCTCATTTATTTAGCAAACTTTATTATTCTACTAGGTACCATCCTCCATGCTCATTGCAGATTACAAAAAATTAAATTGATAATATCTTCACAAGGAACTCAGTGGGCACCACAGGGCAAAGAAAAATAAGCAATTACGATCAGTGATACAAGATGAAACCCATGGCTGCTGGATGGAAGGCAGTGCAGCTGCCTAAGGGACGAAGTACAACCTTTCAGAGGAAGCCTGGAAATAAACATTCCATGGCAATGATGACATAAGTATTATCAGTCTTAACCATAAAATAACAATGGCAATGGTTAACATTTCCCTACGCTTATTTTATGGCAGATGCCATGCATGTGAGGCACTTTACACACATCATTTCCTGTATTTGTGTAGAATGGTTGCCATATATAGTAGTATGTTTCACTGACTTGTGTTTGCACTGTCTATTCAGGTTCTAAATGCCTCTGCCACACCACTGGTAAATTGCAATACTTGCCAGATCATTGATCCTCCTACTCTCATGGCGTTAATAATATGGTAGAGAATTTGAAGTGACTGTATTTAATCTCTGGCTAAATGTTTTATATAACTAGATTTGCAATTCTTACTCCAGAGTCGCTGACAGAAACAGAACCCATTGCCTATGTACAGCCTAACAGGGAGGATCTAAGTAGCCAGGGTCTTGCTGGTTTATCACAGCATCTTGTTCTCCTAAGTGCAATAACCCAAGCCCACAATATCCGATGTAAAAGTGTCACCAACTTTTCCATGGGAAAAGATATAACCCTACTGTCCGAATAGTGGCTGCCTAACAAAAATAAAAATAATAATAACAATAAGAATATCCAATACTCATAAACCACTTATATTGTAAACTAAATGATCTGCATGTACTAGCTGACTTAAACCATATATATATGTGTGTGTGTGTGTGTGTGTGTGTGTTTATACATATTTGTACATATATATATATATATATACATATATATGTTCCAATTTACAGACAGAGAAGCGGAGGTACAGATATATATATCCAGACAGTTGAGTATAATCTGAGTGTAAAAAAGCTTAGATTGTAGTTAGTTCTAGATATAGGACCTTGTTGTTGGGCAAATCCACTGAGAGGAGCCACATCTCAAAAGAGTGGCAGATTACTAATTTTGCAGAAACAAAATTAAATTCCTTTGCAAGGACCTCCCCAGTGTCTCTGACTTCAACTTAGCACATCCTGACTCAAGAGCCATCCACCACCAGCAGATCACAGCTCTTTGCATATCCTCAGTGCCTTTACATAGTGTCTGCCTTGGCTCCCACTGCCTTCTCTCTTCTTCATCACTTGTTTACTCAAGATTTAGCACTTATTTCAAGGAGTCACCTTTCCCAGAAAGCTTGTCCTGATTTCTTGAAGGCCACTCCATTGAACTTCCAATGCTTGACCACTTCTTTTATAGATCTCTGCCTAAAGCTGTAGGCTCCCAAAGGCTGCAGCTAATTTATTTTATAGCCCCAGAACTTACAAGGCCCTATAGGACCATGTTACTGATCTGTTGGAAATAAATAATGAATCTGATCCCTGCAGATCATTACCTTCAGACCACAGTTTGTGATGGTCTCATTAATTTTTGTTACTGTTGGAGCTCTGATTCTCTGCTTATGTGCTTTATTTGCTTCTCTTTTCCTGGTCAGCACTTTAGGCTTTAGGTACATGGCTTTGACAGTAATTAAAATTGATGACTGAGCTGACACTTCCATTTGCTAAGACAGCACAGTTTTGTTCAACGTGCTTTACTTCTGTAACCAGCATCCGCTCAGCACTGGCATAAATCTGTGGCCTTTCGACAAGGATGCCATTTTGTTCCTTTTATGTATTGATTCATCATGTATTGTAGAGCATGCTGGCTGAGTAAGGCTTTTTGCTTCATGAAACTATCACCAAATGTGCAATAAGGGGAAAGCACCGGATGTCTGCAAGGAAAACAAAATCCTAGTTTGCAAAGAGGCAGGGAGTCCAGGGCTTCCCAAGAATTTCCAAACTAGATGTTTGGCTCAGCTCTGTCCTGGGGGTCTCAGAACTGACCCTTACATTCCATTTCAATCATTGCTCTGCAAAAAACGTGTCCACTTTACTGCTGATCTTAAGCCTGGATAGTGCTGTCTGTTAGTTTTCTTAGATTCAAGCCAAAATTTTAAACAAACTTACTGGATAATTTTGACCAAAATAACACGTATATTTGTGTCACCATGTTTAACTTATTTTGAAACCATTTTATCAAATTATAACTGACATACAACAGGCTGTATGTGTTTAATGCATACAAATCATGAGTTTGAATATAAGTATACATTCCCGGAATCATCACCTCACTCTATGCCATAAGCCTGGCCATCACCTCCAAAAGTGTCCTTCCACTCTTTATTATTGTTTCTATGAATTTAATCTCTTTTCTTTGAATTATCAGAACTTTCTCAAGAGTATATTTGTCAGTGAAACAAGTCCTTTCACACTTAGAAGTTATATAAACTTATTAAAACTTTATAAAAGTAATATTCCAGTGTTCTTCTTGGAGAAAAGGAGAATGAAACAAAATGTTCTTTGAGTTGCAGCCAGCAATTAGTGATGGTGACAGGGATTATTCAACCTGTTAATGGTAATAATAAAGCCTTAGAGAGTACCCAGGCAACAAGTAGAGTTGAAGGCATTGTTAACATTGTTACAAATGCAGCTTTGCTTTCTGGTCAACCTAAAACTGATATGTAATACATTGTTTACTCTAGGAAAATATGTATTCTGTTTGCTTTTTTCAGTATATCATACTGGGACTGAAACCAGAGCTTTTCCACTGAGCTACATCCCCAGTCCCTTCCTTTATTTATTTATTTAATATTTACTTATTTAATTTTTTTGAGACAGGACCTTGCTAAGTCCATACATTGCCTATACTGATCATGGACTTGTGATCAAGTCTTGGTTTTGGTCCAGTGTATCCCCATCCTACGAAAGAAAGCCACCAGCCACCAAACAACTCACTAGAATACAAAACTACACTCATCACTCAAGAGTTTCCAAGTATTTAGGAGCTTGTATAGCTGGAAAGACCAAATATATATTTCACAAGTAGTAGCTTTATTACCCTTGAGGAAACACTTCATGATTGTTGTGAGCCTGGACCACAAGTGCAGCCCTAAATAAAACCCAGAGGGAACATAGAGGAACAACATTCTCCCCAAGCCCAGACAACAGGAACATGCTTTTGTAGCTGAGATACTTGCAAAGCAACCCTGGTGGAATGGAACTACATTGGTTGTTTTCCACTTTTGTCTGTCTTGGATGCAACTTGCTACTGGCATCAATGAAACTGCAGCTGGTTTTGAAATAGATAACTTCTTGCCCCATCCTCCATTAGAAAGTTCTGTGTCTCTCTTGTCCAACATTTGTTTTCCCCTCATTCCTTTCCTATTCCCAGGATTGTTCACATATTTCTGAAAATACAGTGAGTTTTCTGTTTTTGGACTGAACTGTTTTTATGCTACTTTGTAATATATGTGCTGCCGAAGCAAGCACTTTATACTGCTTTTTAAAAAGAATTTATGTTTCATCTCATTTTTGTAATAATCAAGTTTGAATTTAAACTATAAAGGAAGGCATTTTTTTCATTGTTCCCTACTGTATGTAGGCATGAGATCAGAGGTAATGAAGACCCAAAGGTTTCCATTTGCTCAGATTTTTTTTTTTAGTTCTTTTTAGTGATTAGGTGCAACTTTAATTTTTAAAATGAGGGTATTGCAAGAGAGCAAGTCAAATTTTATCATCTGAAAATGATGCTGTAACAGGATCATGTCAGATCATTATTTTCACAGAGATGACCAGTTCTTTTCTTCTTCTTCCAGCCACAGCAGCTACTCCTGACAGAGCGCCCCCAAGTCTGCAGAGAGTTAATGCAAGCCTGGAAACAAGTAAGAATTTCAGTCATGTTGCAGTCTTCGGTGTTATTTTTCCATGCTCTAAAGTACTTTCTTTTCTTGTTTCCTTTGGGATTGATAACTAAGTCACTAAAATAAATAAGGCAAACAACAATAATATTTTCAGGATTTATTTTTCAATTTTTTACAAGTCTATTTCTTATCTATTTTGCTTATGGTGGGAGGTGAAGTAAGACCAAATTAATGGAGGGAAAAAAGAAGAAATGATTTTATTATTATAGATCAACAGTTGTTGAATTTAGGCAACTGTCTCTTTTCAAAACATTTTCAAATCATTACTATTATTATTTTGAGGTATTTATCTAATGATTATATTGGCAGAAAGCTAAACTTACCCTTCCAGGTTGTTGTATCTTTCAAAATTCTGCCTTCATATAGCTGTCTCTTCTCTTTGGAATGACATCACATCTCCCCTTCTTGCTCTTCAACAATCTCCACATCATCCATAAGACTGAACTCAAACAAGTGGATCTTAGGGAAGCTTCCCCGAATCCTTTAGGCCCAAAATGATTTTTGTCTTCTGTGCTTCCATGGAATTTTGCCTGCAGTTTTCACATTTTCATGTGCATGTTGGCACTGTATGCTGAACTCACTGGATTGGGTGGGCTGCATGAATGAATTTATTGCATTCAACTTTAATTTTTTTTTGGGGGGGGTACTTGGGATCGAACTCAGGTCCTGGCACTTTCAAGTCAGGCTCCAGAAACACTGAGCTAAATCCCCAGCCCCATTCAACTTTAATTTAAAACCTACATTTGTGCTCTTTCTAAATTCCTTACATCACCTAAAAATCACTGATCTCAGATAGGAACTTCTTTATTTAAATTTTAAGGATAGATTTTTGTTAACCAGTTGAAGTATGCGTTAGAGTCCTTATTATGCAGTAAAGAAAGGGAAGACAGTGTGCCAGTTGAGCTTAAGCTATTGCTGTTTTGTGGGTAATTCTAGTGTCATAAAACCATAATTTGGATTTTATGACTCAATTGCAGAGTACATTTCTAATGTGAGATTTAAACATTATTTCCTTGGAAGTGACCCAAATAATAGCTGATGCTATTTTTAACAAATGTCATCCACTTGTTATTTGTGTCAGACCACAAACTGTACAATCTGCCTGACTTAGAAGAATCTGACATGTTAATCTGCTTCTAAGTAACATGAAGGATTGCTAAACAAACAAACATACAAAAAAATGGGTAGTTGTTTGATTATCTTTGGGTTATGCTAGCTAGTATATTCTAAAGCCTCATTCAATAAGTAAAATGACCTTTAATTTTTCTTACTGTAAAGAAATGAGGAGGGACTAATTAAAGATGTTTTACTAATAGTGTACAAATTATATAGGAACCATCTGCCACACAAGATAGTGCCTTCTACTTTTCCCTCAAATGGTATCGTATTTCCCCCAAAATAAGACCTACCCAGAAAACAAATTCCAGCATGATTTTAGAGGAGACATCATGCTAGAACTCGTTTCTGGGTAGGTCTTGTTTTAGGGAAAAAGGGTATTATGCTTTCTCCAGAGTCTGAGGTGCTTAACCATCTTGTCTTGTTGAAGTACAACATCTAGATAAGGCAGATGTGTTGAATAGCTTCCTACCAGTCACTTGGCATGTTGTGGTTTTCTGTCTTTGTGATAAGAAGATTAACTACTTGTCATTCACATAATGGAGACTCACAGACATGACATCCTTACACAAGGAAAGACCTTATCTTTCTACATTTTCTTATCAGAAATCACCTGCTCTCTGTCCCAGGAATAACTGGATGAATTAAATCCTGCTGTGGGGTTTTCTGGACCAGGACACACCTGCCACAGGCCATGTGCTTGACGTGAGCCACCTTATCACAGAAGCATCTCATCCAGATGTGACAGACCCAGATGCTCACACTACCTCCCTGTGTCACTGTTACATTGTCACTGTATTTCAAATCCTTTTCTGTGCTGTGCACCCAACATTAGGGTCTCCATCCTGAGAAACTAAAATACTGCTCTGACATCAAGAGCCTCACATTATCCCTAGAGAGTTAATTTTACATGTGAAATAGGCTGACAATACTCTATTATTTATACCTTTCCTACTTGTATTTTTTTTAAATTCTCAAGTTCAAAACAAAGCCCTATAAAAGAAAAATAAAATAAAATCCCTTTCAGAGATTTTTATGAACATTTGGGCCAAATATATAATATTTTATTAAAAGCAAAATTTTCAGATTATTGCACATCTCTCTGAGGGTTATCTTCCTCTTGTTTTAAAAAGGTCATTACTTTTTCTGAAATTTTCATGTATTAGAAAAAAACAAATTTTTTGATCAGTGGCATTTCTACCTTGAATTAAATATCCAACTGGAAGTGGAGCAAAATATTAAAATATCATTGACAAATGTATATACATATATATGTGTGTGTGTGTGTGTGTGTGTATACATATATATATCATTGACTGCCCCTAAACCATAAGTTAGTCTAAGATTTTAAGAAAACAAGCACTATGTATATAAACATTAATGATTAAGATAAAAATTAAGTTTTGAAAGAACTCCAAAAGATTTTCAAAATAGATGGACAATCATGAATAGAAATAAAAGATCCAAAAGGGAAGAAGAAGTGGAAGGGGTAGGGAAAAGGAAGAAAGAGAAAGGAAAAAATATGAGAAAAGAAAAAGTGGAAACAAAGTCTTTGTAAATAGGGAGGGGTATAGGAGTTGAAGGGAGTGCAGGGGAATGGGAAAAAATAGGAACCACTATATGTCATATAAAAGTATAAATTTCCAATGATGAATGTCATTATATTGTATATCTAAATTGTACCACTAAACTTACTGAATAAAAAATAAATAAATGGACACTGCAAATGAATTACTTCAAATTTTTAGAAGTTCATGAATAATTTTCCTCACAACTGTGAATTAGTTTCACTTTTCACATTTTATAAACACTTTTACAAGACAAAACTTTAATATAGTAAACACCATCTTGCTTGTTCAGGTCTTTATGTGGACCTTACATGTTCTTAACTGGACTCTTAGCCTCCTAATTTTTCTTCCTACCTTCTATTTTTCCCTTTTCCAAGCCACCCTACTCTGCTTCCAGATTAATTCCTGCCTACTTCTAATTCAGTGATTCTTCTATATAGTCACTTTCAATGGCTCACCACTGTTTTCTAAACTACAAACAAATTCATCTCCTAGACATTCAAGAAATTCTACAACATGGACTTTGGTTCTTTCCCATCTCCTTTGTATGCAATGCACCCCCCATTTATGTTTCCTGTATTTTTACCTTATTATATCTTCCTGGCCATTTGTTCCCTCCTCTTTCTTCCCAGGTGGAGACAATCTTCAGGGAATTTTGTCCTTTAAGGCGTGTTCACAATTCACTGTATCCATAGAATTATCCCAGTTCCCCCAAGCGGATACGTGCTTCCTCTCTGGAATCTCTGTAGCTCTTTCTCACTCTATGGAAAAGATATTATAGCACAGTGGTTTAAGAACTCGGCCACTGGAATGGACAGCTTTACTTTTAGTCCCAATTCTATTGAATACCTCCTGCATGATCTTATCTAAATTTTATGACTTCTCCATCGTGCTTTATTTGATCCCTAAAATAGAAATACTAATAATAGCTATACATAAGATAGTTGTGAGAATTACAAATGTTGATATATTTCAAGTAAAGTAGTAAATGGCCCCATTGTAAGCTTCCATGGCGTTTATTGTATTTTCTCATATCTTTTGTTTTATTCTAATGTGTATTGTATTGAAATTATGAAATTACATATACTTAACTTATGAAATTACACATAATTTAACTGTATTTTAAATTATAAAGTCATTATATCATTTGATTCAACCTAATGTGTATAGATTTTTGTATGTTTTCTGCCCCCATTAATAAACTGTACTAACCCTAATCTAGGCGCTATAACTCCTTATATTCTACAGTACTTAATTAATAGTTGTTGAATTTTGCACTCCCCTCCAAAAAAGGAAGCTACTCTTACTCTAACATCTTAAGTACTCTTTGGCTACAACTAAGTTTCATCCATGTAGATCAGTAGTCATTTATTAAAGATGAAGGATAAGGCTGGGGATGTGCTCAGTGGTGCCACACCTGGGCTGGCGAGCTCAAAGTCCTGGATTTGATTCCCAGTAAAAAGGAAAAGAAAAAAAAAAAAGATGAAGGATAAAGATATAAAAGATATGCAGAAATGGAAATTTTTCTTGTCCATTGCTGAGTATAAATATTTAGTCTTTCCTAAAACCCTTCCAACAAACCTGAATTTCAGTTATAGAATGAATGTCATAGGTTAATTTTGGGACATATTGCAGACTACCATATGGCATCCTTTTTACGTCTTATTGGCCCTTTCACTTGCACAGAAATAGCTAGTTAGTAGCCCTGCACCTGGCTGCAGCCTATCACTGCCCCCATAACTGCTGAACAGCTCTCTCAGTTTTGAGAACTCTTATGTAGCAGATAGTTTCAACATTAAGTCATACTACTTGACAGCAGAGTTGAAAGAAGCTCAACATAAGGCAAGTGTGCCTTTGAAGGGATGGGGCCTTAGAGTGAATGTGCAGCATTTCTTTGTTACAAGGAATTTGAGCTTTGGACATGTGTTAGGAAGCAGAACTGATAGTTCTAACACTGGTGCTGGTTTCAAATTCTTCACAGTCGACTTATTTATAAAGGATTCAGCAAATGATTCAGTAAGTAAACACAGATTGTGGCGATCCCTTTTAAGGAAGCTGTTTATGTTGGCTTTTTCCTTGCACCCATACAAATGGTAAGCCCTCCTGACTCACATGCAGCACTAATCTCCAGATGATGCCAAACATTCCAGGAATATTATTTATCCCTCTTCCTTACTTCTTAGAATATAGGAGCCCTGCAAGTAGAATTATGGACTCTGTACAAGGAAAATCGAGGTAAGGAGAAGCCAATTTAAAGAGGTCTCTCAACACACCAAA